TTTAGCACAAAGAGGGTAATAAGTATCATTTTAAATGTGTTGCGAATCCCTATGGCAAGTTCCACAGGGCTTACCTTCACTATCGATAGATTCATCATCATCACGGTCCCTCCCCTCATCTTCCTCATCGTCAGCCAACTCATCTTTAGCAAGAAGAGAATCGTTAGTATCATCTTGATTCCGAAATAAATCTCCATGATAAGTTTTATGAGGCTTACCCTCACTATCGCTAGAGTCATCGTTATCACCGTCTCTCCACTGTGCATCTTCATCGTTATCGGGTTCACCTTTAGCACAAAGAGAGCACTTAGTATCGGCTTTATTAGGCTGTGAATCTCGGGAGTCTCATGGGGATACCTTTATTGTCGATAGATTCAAGATCATCACTGTCTCTCCAATCGGCTTCTTTATCATCATCCAGCTCACCTACAGCGAATACAACGAGTTATTAATACCTCTTGAATTCTAGTATGAGCTTCCATGATGAGTTTCATGGGGCATACCATAGCCATTGATAGACTCGTTATAATCTCTCACTTCAATCATCATCATCGTCATACAACTAACCTTTCATACAAAGAGAGTCATGAATATCATTCTAATCCTGCTCTGAATCTCCATGATAAGTTTTATAGGGCCTACCTTCACTATCAATAGATTCATAGTCCTCAGAGCCTCTCCATTTGGCTTCTTGATGGTCATCCAGCTCACCTTTCGCTGAAAGAGAGTCGTACTTATCATTTCAATTCCGCTGTGAATCTCCGTGATAAGTTTCTTTGGGGCTTACCTTCACCACCGACAGACTCAAGATCATCACCGTCTCTCCACACGGCTTCTTTACTGCCATCCGCCTCACCTTAAACACAAACAGAGTCCTTAAAATCGTCTTAATTTGGCTGTGAATCTTCATGATAACTTTCACGGGACCTACCTTCACTACCCATAGAATCGTTATCAATACGGTCACTCCACTCATCTTCTTCGTCGTCTTCCAACTCACCTTAAGCACAATGAGAGTAATTACCATGTTGTTAATTCTGATGTAAATTTCCATGATCAGTTTCATCGGATTTACCTTTACTATCGCTGGAGTCATCATCAATATCGCCTATCCTTTCAGCTTCTTCATCGTCGTATACTTCACCTTTAGCAAAAATAGTTGGATTAGAATCATTTTCATTGCGCTTGTGATATGCATGATTTGTTCCATGGGGCTTAGCTTTACTATCGATAGAATCATTATCCTCACTTTCTCTCCACTCAGCTTCTGCATCATCATTTGGCTCACCTTTAGCGCAAAGAGAATTATTTGTATCAGCTTAATTCTGTTGTTAATCTCAAGCATATGTTTTTATGGGGTTTACCTTTACTTTCGCTGGATTCATCATCACCGTCTCTCCATTTAGCTTCCTCTTCGTCTTCTGGCTCACCTTACGTACAAAGAGATTCATTAGTATCATCTCAATTCCACTGTGAATCTCCATAATACACTTCATGGGGCTTATCTTTATCATCGATAAAGTCATTATCATCACTGTCTCCCCATTCGACCTCTTCATCGTTTTCAAGCCCGCCTTTAGGACAAAGAGAGTCTTAGTATTATCTTAATTTCGTTGTAAATATCCATGATACGTTTCGTAGGGCTCACCGTCACTATCGATAAAGTCCTTATTGTTGTTGTCTCTCCACTCGGCTTCTTCATCGTCATCTAACTCACCTTTGGCAAAAACAGAGTCATTAGCATCACCTTAATTGCGCTGTGAATCTTCATGACACGTTTCATGGGGTTACCTTCAATATCGATAGATTCATCATCATCATTGTCTCTCCTGACGACTTCTTCATGGTGCACTAGCTCTCCTTTAACACAAAAAGATTCATAAGTATCAATTTTTATATTAAAATTCCTCCATGAGTCGCAACCTAATCGCCAGTAAAAATTTTCGCAAAATTACCTTAGTTTTACCATTAGTACTAAAGGAGTCATTAATATTAGAGTCATTCTGGTGTAAAACTTCCGTTTCGGAATGGTTATTTTCAGAATCAAGAGCTTCATCTTTACTCTTTGAATTTTTGATAAATTATCGTTGAGAACTGACTTTTCCTTAGCTTAAGTTTAATTTGCTCAATGCTCCTAAAACTAAAAAATTCGCGCGCATGACCTAAATGGATCACGAACTGTACAACTTAGAAAGGTGGAGCTGAAATACGCTTGCACGCGTCACGGACTTTCGCGGGCTCACTCAGGGAAACCGTGAAAATGTAGGACATAAAGTAGTGAAAGTACAGACTCGTCAAAGAAAAAGCGAAGTTTTTGAAAACTTTAGGTGCCTGAAATTTCATTCAGGGTTTATGGTTGCAGACATTCAACTAACGCGGATACACAACATATCCTTTGAACACTTCTGTTCCACGGTTTCACTCCAGATCAAACGACGAAAGCTGGCACCTAAGTACTTAAAACTCGGTAAAAACTCCTTTGTTCCATTTTTTATGCAATCACTGACGCGCACAGGCGTTTCTCAACAATCGTCGCTTTGAAGTAGGTTACGTCTGGCAGCTCTGTGCTAATTACTTTCTTGTTGTTATAAGTTAGGTTACATTGTAATCACTCAATCGAAACAGATTCTAAATTTGATTAATAGAACTTCAGTTATCTGTTGGCCAGTGATGCGACAAGACGGCATTCTCGGTTCATCGATTAACTAGGACATAATTCAGGAACGGACAAGAATGTTTACCTACCATCACTCATTAGTGGTCTTAATCTTGGAATGGGCCGAGCATTGATTCCCAGTTGTGCGTACACAACCAAGAACACAATCCCGACCCACAATTTCATTTCTTGTCGTAAAAAAATTTCTCTTGAAAGAAAATTTGTTTCCGCACTGCAACTCAACTCCTAATATGAAGAAAAGCTCCGCAATACTGATTCTACGTCACAATTAGGAATAACTAAATTTGCAATCATACGTCAGTAACTAGTATTGGTAACAACATGATTTCGGGTGCAATTTGGTGCAAATAAGCACGAGTAAAGTTTTCAAAGACAACAAAATTGAGCGAGCCCGTAGGGCGAGTGCAGCTTTTAATCCTTGAAAAAGCATCACAGAGAGTCGAGACGGACGCAATTTTGGCAGCGCGCGCGCTATTTGTAATTTGCACTTGTGTTACAACTTTGCACCCGAGTTACATGAAAATGTACTCGTATTGTTAGTATAGGTAATCACATAATTTCGGGCGCAATTTGGAATAAATAATTACGAGTAACTATTTTCAAAGACTAAAAAAAACATGAAAAAATACGAGATTGCTTATAAAAACTATGCAGAAGCAAAGCGCGCGCATCAAGTGCAAAAATAATTTATTCAAACCCTGCAAGTGACGTTGTGCGTTCGGTCAAAACAACCGCGTGCGTTCAAAACAATAATATACAATGATATTTTCACATCTTTAAGGAGGAAAAAGGTTCAAAGTTCGGCTAAACAATTCAAGGAATTTTTCAGTTTGGTTTATCACTTCTTTGCACTGAATTAACCCTCTTCTGCATTGAATTACCTGAAAACTGCATTTATCTCAACCAATAAGAATTTAGTAATTTTTTCATGTATCTTATTAATTAAATAATTACACTGCAATTACAATTACAGTACAATACCGCTAAGTCCTTTTAAACAAGATGTTAGCTTTTTAGTCTTGAAACTAAAGAAATACCCTACTGTTTTATTTTAAAAGTAGAACGCCGCGCGTGCAATATAAAGCTACTCTCTAAAACTTACGCGGAGCAAGAGTTCTCGCACAGTTCTTTAGAGTAATGTTACTTCCATAAAGAAGAACTTTTGTCGGGTTATAAAAGGGGTATGGATCTTTTCGCTATTCATTCATTCCCATAATTAATGGATGTGATCCTTTATCGATAAGTCTGCCGATGATCTTGTTCGATTCACTGCAGGTGAAGATGAAATAGTCTGGAAATGAGTAGTGCAGCCGCTCAGCCGGTTTGCCCCAAACTCTGAGCGGTATTCATACAAACAAATAATTTTTACACCAAGAATATAAATTCAGTGTTATTGCCTCGATGCTGATCATTTAGTGGCTCTCCTCCTTTACTACGATTACTCGAGGTATCGGTGCAGTTGTTGAAATATCCTATATAAAGTCTCACACACCTCAGGATTACGACAAAGGTTGTCGGCGATGAGGAAATCATGTGTACACTACAATTCTACATACACGACGTACGACTCAAACGAGAATCCAAGATGGCGCACTCAGGTATTTCTGCTGGTGCGAAGGGAAGACTTGTTGCTGTGATAGGAGACGAGGTAAGGACCAATTCTCTTCATAATCTTGTCTAGTTATCGTCAGAATGACTTAGGTTCACTTTTCTTGGTTAAGGACACTTGCACTGGTTTTCTATTGGGAGGAATAGGAGAAATTAACGCCAAGAGACAGAAAAATTTCCTGGTTGTCACCAAAGGTAAGAAATTTCTCTTTGATTGCTGAGAATTGTGTTTATTAACTCGATTAAAAAAAAGAGTGAGCTTAAGACATAAATCAGACTTAGTAGGAGGAGCAAATTGCATTCTTTTGCAGTCTCAGGAACTTGCAACCAGGATGCGGCAATCGTACAACTGATATGGGAGAGTGTGAAATAATTCCCTCCATTCTACAAAAATCCTTAAAGAGGCGGTTTTTTTTTAAAATAATGAAGTGCTAAGAATGTATCCCAAGTGCTCAGTATCGATAGGGTGGCAACCCCAATTGACTCGTAGCAGAAATTTACAAATTAATATGCAACTTTTGCTTCTGACTATGTACCGGTAAATATTTTTTTTTCGTTTAGTTTGGATCCAGTTTCGCAACCGAAAAAGAGGGGTTATTGCTAGTTTTTTAGCGTCGTGGTCGTGATCAACCCTCACACTCACAAGAGCGATCAGGAAATAATTCCTCGTTTTAATATTATACACTTTTACGGATATAAGTGAAGAGGGTTGAGGAAACTATCACATAAAAAGCATCATCTTGCAATAGCAGCAACTTCTTGCATAAGAGATAAACAACCCATGTCAGTTCTTTCAATAACACCCGGCACCCGCTGGAGCTCTGGCAGGTATTCTGTTGTGAATCGCCGCGTATACTTTGCCATGTCCAAGTCAAATTTACAGAACAAAAAGGTTAATAAATAATATAGAAAATAACAGTCAAGTTAGTACTGGAGTATTCACCCCAGTTATTCTTTTAATTCTATAGCCTTTGTTTGTTAGATTCATTCTTTCACTGGCAGTTTTCTTTCTCTGCTTGTTTTACTTGTTCTATAAAAGTTAATAATGCTCAAAGTAGAAGTGTACATTGTCAGTTACCTAAATAATTTTCAAACAAATTTGTGCTGAACTAAAATCATTAAATACTTTTAGATAAATAAAACAAAAGCAGTTCTTCTCAACTGCTGGTTAGAAAACAAACTTGAAAATCAAAGTTAGTTAAAACAGCTTGCTTGTTAATAGCACATGTAAATCAAATTTGAAATTTTTTTGGAAAGATGTTGACCTTGCCTATAGACACTTAACCTAGGCTTGGCTGTGAAGAGAACTACAAAAAGGCTATTAAACACTTAGTGTCTAAACTTTAATTTATAAAAAAAAAAGCCGTATTTGCTGAAAAATCGAAGAAGACCTTGTTCTACGTTAACACAACGATTGTTTATGATCCGATATGAAACATGAGTTGTAGGAACAACTAAAATTCATTGGCTGATTGATTTAATTCAATTATCCTATGTAAATATTAAATGAACAATTCTGCAGAAAAGAATAATTCTGAGGTTTTCCCAGGAAATAAAACTGGTGAAA